CTGTCTGAACAAAAGTTATGGGAGGCAGGACGTTGAAGCAAACTCACATCCGTTCGAAAGGTGAAGACCATTCTCCTGCCTGCGTTCTGTAGGCGTTCCGTCAACATTGTTAGACTTCTCCTCATCAATAGTGCCTGTGCAGTTTAGTCGGGTCCCGGTGGACAGGAAACTGGTTCCCGCGCCAACAGGGAGGCTACAGGTCATGGAGGGGGCAGTCAAGTGACCGGCCGTGTATCCGGGACGAACGGTGGAGCTGTTGCCTAAAGGTGACGGAAAATGAGTAGGTAAGAGGACAGAGACCTTCACCCGGCGGCTCAGCCCTAAACACACATGCGCACACATGCAAAATGAGAGGAACTAAGGGGAACAGCAAAAGGCATTTAGTGGCCAGACCCAAAAAAACCATCCCCACCGCATTACGCATTGCAAAACTGAACTGTGAATAACTGAAATTGTGCTACCCTAGCTGACAGCGTGCTCTTAACTTAGTTTATGTCAGCAATAGGTTTTCACGCAGTGTGGAATGTCTGGGTCTCGTAATGATTGGTTTTCCGACTGAGAACTCTGTTAATCGGCTGCCGAAGGTACTGACGCATTCTTCGAATAAAACCTACGTTGGAGAGGAGACTGCGCAGAGCTCTGTATACCGGCGCCAGATCGATACATCGATTGATGGTGTTACCATCAATAGGCCAATTCATCAGCTTGCTGGCCTTCTGAACAGCCTTTCACAAAGTTCAAATGAAAATGAGCACTGTGTTGAATTCACTCTAGCCGGATAGGAATAAACATACCAGCGACTTTTTGTAAGTTGCAAGCGACACACTCGAAATAGGCTTGCGGGCAATCGGCCAGGAAGATTTTTATTTCCGCCAAAGCAGGATACAGGAGTAGGATTGCTCCTCCCCCACCTAAAACAGGCGGCCTTGCAATAATTTTCAGGAAGGCTAAATATTCCTGTGTCTTAAACCTAACATAAAGATAAACTCTAATTTTAACCCTACCCTAAACCTAAACCCTACAGTTGACACGAACCTTAACCCTTAACATAACCCTGACCCTAGCCCAAACTTTAAATTTAACCCACGTTACGCACACATGCTTGAGTCTGAGGATTTGCCTTTATGAATTTCGTCCCGCATTTCTAGCCCATAACCACGAGAAACTAGAGTTGACGGAAGGAGTCAGGCTACGTTAAACCCCGCTTGAGACAGCTGTGATGATGCCGTCCTGCCACGTGAGCTAACAGCGGCAACATCTGCGCTCCTGGTTTCCAGGTCGCATTCCGAACC